AAGGTTAATAAATATAAATATAGAAATATGAATAGGAATAGTCTTTCATATGACACTGCGCAATGTGCGGCGTAGCCATTACAATAATATATTTAGTGCATCACATGACTTCCGTAGTAAGTTCGTTCTAATTGGTCAATATTAGCCGGGTAATTTATAGGTCCAAGATTTACTATCTCACAATACTTATATCCTTTTTATGAGGGCATATTAAGTATATAAATTATTTTAGTACCTTTTTATTTTAAAACTAACAATATTTGTCAAAAGATTAAATTTATTAAACTTGATAACAGCAAAGAAGTTTTTATTCTAAACATTTTATTTGTTGCCAGTATAGAATGGTCTTGGACAAGTAATACCTTTGTATTCATCTTTCACAAATGAGCAAATATTGTTATAAAGATATTCTTGTCTTTTGTAATCCAAAGGAGGTGGTGTTAGCACTAAAATGGACAAAGTTCTAATTTCTTCAAAAATATCTGCTTTTTTGATTTTCAATAAATTGAATTCAACAAAAGGTCCATTAGCAATTTCCTGAGCTTTGACCACACAAAGATTAGTTGCTTCAAAAAGAAAATGTTGATATTTCTGGATACTTGGTAATTTCTTGAAATAAATTCCTAAAATTGCTTTAATATCTAAATATTGAAAACCTTTTCCTGCCTTGTAACATTGAGCTTTATTTAATCCAGTTGGACTAGACTTTTTTATCACCTCTACCACATGATCCAGACAATCTACTCTGGTTCTTCTATAGAGTTTTTTTATCATCCCAAAATTACCATCACATTTGAATTTGGTATGACCTGGAATCATGAAATTCAATTCAATACTTTCATAATATCCACAAATTACTAAATACAAATAGAATCAAATAGTAGTATTATTTTTATTCTGTCAACCTGCATTATCACAAGTAATCTTTAAATGCTTTTCACCTTTATTCAATTTCTTAATTCCATCAAAGATCAAACTAAGAGTTCCATTAGGACCTTTTCCTATAATTTCATCTTCATTAAGAACATAATTAATTTGTTCCCTTACTGCTTCATCTTGAATACCAAATAAATGAACTTTACATGGACTAAGGTAATAAATTTTACTTACTTGTTGATCTAAATGAGGCACATGAACATTTTGGGCTCAATCATAACTATAATGAGCAGTAGCATCAATACTGCAATATGATGTTTTACCTTGGGAATGATTTTGATTAATCAATTTTCTTTGTTCTACTGCTAATTTGGTGTTTTTATTATAATAATTTCTCTCTAATTTGGCCTTGGACAAATGTTCTTTAAATCTTTTGAGTAATTCTTTGGCTTCATCCTCTTGGTGAGCATTGTAATGTAAACCATTTCGAAAATGTTGACAAGTATCACATAAGTCAGTCCTGGGACTCATAATTTGAATCCCTGGTGTTAATTGATGTCATAATTTTCTGAAAGCATTATATTTTAAGGATTTTAAATTACTATTTTCTTCCAGACCAGCTAGAAAATCTCTATGCACAGATTTATAACTCATTTCAGCTGGTAAAAATACAATTGATTGAGTTATTCTATTGATACTTCTTCCTGGACTTGGTAATCCATGGACTTCTGCATAATTTTCTAGAAAATTCTTTACTACTTCAGCAACATTTTTATCAATCACCATTTTAGTTTTTCATTGAGGCATTCTTTTAATATTACCATGAATTCTTGGTAAAAGACCATTGTTTATCAAATGATTTCTAAGGTTCTCAAAATAAGTTCTGCCAATTCCTAACATATTGAGATAAGTTTCTTGACAAAGTAGTGTATTATGACCTCAGTGATAGAAAGTTCTTTTATTAGATCTTGTTTTCTTTTTAAGGTGTCTACTAGTGCTTATTGGTCCACCATCCATGGCTTTAAGTTGAGCCATTAAAAATATGTCTTATTCTACTTTAGAAAGGGCTTGAAAAGATTCCCTTAATTCTGCAAATTGTTCTTTGGGAATTCTTGAAGAACAATCACAACCACATCTTTTTTCTAAAAAATCAATTGCCTTTTCATATTCATTAGAACCATTATATTTATTATTAATTTTCATATACACTTATCCCTATATATAATTTTATGTTCACTTTGTATGTTTTTTAAAAAAGAGATTTTATTGATCAATACCAAAAAAGATAAATAAATTAATATAAATGATCTTTAGATGGAATTATTGTTTATTTTCTGTGTACAAACCATTTTTCCTCAAAGATATATATCAATTTGACAATTTTGACATTTATTGATTTTATTGATTGGTATATTGAAAATTTTTTTCCAGAGTATCCATAACAAAAAGATGAATAATAGCCAGAACCTGCAAAATTCGACCACTCCTAAAAAAATAAAAACAAGCAAAAAGGAATTGTTATTATCAAGGTTGCCTTTTGAAATTCTAATGCTTTTTCTAAATTAGTTTAAAATTGTTATAATTCTAAATTCATGAATTTTGAAAGGCAATTCTAGTTATTATGTTTATGCGCATTTGAAAAAAATCAATTTTCTGTAAATGTATCACATTTGACCTAAAAAAAATTCATTTAATTTTACCAAAACAGGTGAGCAAATATTATATTTATTTTTTGATGAAAAAATAATAATAATTCTGTTTCCTGCATTTTATCTTTCAAATTTTTCATTTTTCCATTTTTATTAATAATATTAGTTTCTTGTGGATATTGTTTTTCCAGTAATAGTAAATTCATAACATAATTATTTGGGATCATTCTTTTTTAAAAAAACCATATCTCTTTCTAATATATTATTATGCTAACAGTTCTCTATGAATAAAAAAAATAAAAAGTAAAATGAATGAATAAACTTAATTTTTAATTCTTTTGAAATTCAGTTTGAATATTCCATCATGTATTCTTCATTATAATATTTTACTAATACATATGTTTTAAGAAATAATATGCAGGGTCATGTATACCACCTAACAAAACAATTAATGAATTGATAACACATCCAACTGTAATATGAAGTTAATCTGAACACCAAATTTATAATGAAAGATGAAGTTAACAGTGTCATGGCACTACAACATTATTATTATGGATCTCTGATCGAGGAAATTTAGGAACACGTTCCAATAAATCATCCATTGTATCAAAGAACTTTCTTTTTCTTTCTGACTCAATTTTCTCTGCTATTGTGGGCCCAATACCATGTATGAGTTTCAATTCATAAGATCTTGCAGAATTAATGTGAATTTTGGCATTTACTATAAAATAATAACAATAATAATACATGAATAACAGTTCAAAAAAAAACTCTCCATAATTGATGACATACCTGCAGAAAATTGTGCACAACTTGCGAATGTGTACCCATAGAAAGCCTGAAAATTTGTTTGATCAGCTACAGCACATCTGTCAGGAAGATCCACAACTTTCAGGGTATTAGCCTGATTGGCATTAGACAAAATGATAAAAACCCACTCCTTGATTTTTGTTTTTTGTTTTAATATTTTAAATGCCTCTGCCACTTTCTTATATTCAGTATCAATCAGCTCTTGATTAATTCTTTTAGAATGTTCTGAATCCAATTCAGTGTACTTCATCTGGAAAGCAATAAGAAAGCAAGCACTATATTCTGAAGGTGAAAGGAATGAAAAGCCATCCCAATTTGCTTCCTTACCATTTACAAACACTTTATGAGAGTTCTTATGTATAGTTTCATGTATATTGTCATTTGTATCTCTGACTTTGAGCTTATCAGGATATTTTTCAATCAATCTGTGCACAGTAATCAAATTGTATTTTGGAAGTTTGATCATAATATTTGGGAACTTCTGGTTGTAAGAGGCACCACAAAGGAGTTCTTCCAGGTTGATATGTTCATCAGAATGAATAAATGATAAGAGGCATAGGCGTAATGCCCAAAATTCCATGTTAAAAACTTCCCAACCATGCCAATAGACTGGTTGTTGTGGATCAATAAATGAAATCCATTTTTTAATGGGTGAATTTGCAGAAGTTACAGAAACAACAATACATAGCCACAAGTATGGCAAGCGGATTTTGTACCATTTTCCAGTACCATTATCAGCAGATTCAAGATTTATGATGCCTGCGGACTTGAGTTCCTTGTAAGTTGCAAAGTATTCTTTATTCTTTGTGTCTTCTTGCCTGATAATATTAAAGCCATCAGATTCCATTACTGATTTTTCCAAAATAGCATTTGCCAGCATTGGCATTGCAAATTGTGAATATGTTTTGAAAGGGTATTTTCCTGTCAAATCTATTATCAGTTTAGTCATTACCTCCACAATATCAACACAATTTAGCAAGTTGATTGGTGTTTTGTCAGTAATTTCCAAGTCATTCTTATTGTAGGTTTGTTGTTCAATGATGAGATGGAAAAAGGACTCCATAGCTCGAGCCATTCCACCAATATCAGTAAGACAGCATCGAAATACATTATTTTTCAAGATATACTCATTAGGAAATCCAAGTGAACTTGCAATGAACAACATGTCTTTATCAGGAAGGAGAGGTAGTGGGAGTTGTAAAAGCAGATAGGTTGATTCTTGTACAAGCTCCTCCATAGGACCTTGGATAGTTCCAGATAGAATTGGTATGAAAAATATATTCCCACGCATGCAAGAAAGTCCACCAATCACATGTACTACTTGATGAAGAGTTTGTTGATCAATTGAGTAAAGTAAATTTATTTCATCAATACCAAGAACAAATACATGAATGTTTGATGTCATTTCTGAAACCACTATATTTATTGCAGTAGTTAAGCGGAGGAGGCTTACATCTCCATTCATTATAAAGTCTGCAAAACTAATCTTTGGATTGTTACAACTGATGAAATGTTGATAAATGAGTCGAACAGCTAATGCTGCTTCCCCTCCAATTTCCACATCAAATTTGCTTGCAGGAGTTCCACTTCCAAATGTAGTATTTACCACAACTATATTGGAGAAAGCCATCTTAACACTTTCATTGTCAGATTCACTGGCTCTTGCTACCAACAATCTTGCCACTTCTTCAAGGAATCTGCTTTTTCCAGTTCCTGGTCCACAAGCCAGAAAGGGAAGTGGATGTGAGGTCCGATCTGATGTGTTGCTATGAAAACGTGAAAGAATACCATTTCTTCCCGAAGTGCCATTCCATAAAGTATTGAAGGTAATTTCTCGGTTGCAGAGAGGAAAAGAACCACCAAAAGGGTTGACAAGCTACAATAGAAAATATTAAATCAGACAAAAAAATTTAAATGTACAAAATGATGAACATACTTTATCTGGTGAGGTGCCATCAGGTCGTTGATATTTTCTTATGAATTCAAGAATTGATCTATTGTCCCTCCAGTCTATAACTAAATATGTTGCAAAACAAATAATACATAACAAGAAAAGTGGGAGTCAATTTCCAGATCTATTACATAGTGTGAAGAAAAGTAAAAATGGTATATAGAAGAATGGTATACCTTCCTTCTCTAATGTTATAGAAAAAACATAATGCATAAATTTTATAGAGAACAAGATGAATGGATCAATGAATGAATAAATAAAACAAATGAAATGGAATGAACGAAAAATATTTTTTTTTTTATGCAATTTGATCATTACCTTTTCTTTTACTCAATTCTTTTCTATATAAATCGTCCCATCTATCTCTCCTCTCTTCTTTCCTTTTCTTTGACTCCTCCAACGACTTCTTTTCCTCAATCAACTCTTCCTTTTCTTCCACCAACTCTTTTTTTTCTTCGTTATCCTCATACTCTTTTTCCCTCAATTTCCTTTTCAACTCGTTCAACCTGTCTACATTCTCATCTTCCCACTTCTCCAATCTCTCTTTCGCCTTTTCATATTCTCCAAATGCAATATTTAATTGGTTCTTGATTTCTTCGAATACTTCCATTTTTTTTAAAAAAAAAGATATTAATTTTTAAAAATTTTTGTTACCAATTAATTAATTGTTTCTATGCATAATTTCGAAAGGTTTAACAGTATTCCAGGCTGAATAATTTGTAAAAAAATATAAGTTTCATAGAAAGATTGAATTAATATAAATACATCCAATGATAAAATAGTGGGCACATGACTTGGAATTTATTTTACGAATTAAACGACAAAAGAAAATTATTTTTATTTTAATTTAACTAATAATAGAAAAATACATAAATAATTTATAAAATATAAGTTAAAGAGTGCTTGCATGGGAGGAAAATACTCGGGCATAAAGCCATTTGTAAGTATTACCTATTCTTTGGACACTAACAAAAATTCAACTTACATTATTACTTAATGCTATTTATTATCAATTAATATTTTATATCATTGTTGTTTTTATTATCTTTTTCATCTTCACTCTCCGCTTCTTTCTTCTTTTCTATGTTGACCCATTCCTGAATTGCTTTTATCGTTTTCTTTCTAGGATTTGTTTTTCGTTGATAAAAAAGGTTTTAAGAGTAGAAACTGCAACTCCTTTCTCTCCAAGTAATTCACGAATTTCAATGACCATTTCATTGAATGAAAAATCAAGATTCGATCCAATCTTTTTGTCAAATAATTGCTTAAAATCCCTCCATAGATTTTCGATTTCTTTTGAATAGTTTTTATCACCAGTAATAGTAAGTTTGTTTAATTTTTTTTTTAATTGGCTTTTTATTGGTTCTATTTTATCGAATATTTTATAGTGAAGCAAGAAGCCAAAAAAGAGTCCGATCAATGACCCACAAGAAAATTCACCATTGAATGTAAACAAAAAATTTTTAAATGTTATTATATTGTATAAATATTTGTAATTACTTGTTTTTTAAACCAAAATAAAATTGCGTTTAATGGTGATTATTAGAAGGATTTTGTTATTTGATTTTTTTTACCTGAAAATTAAAGTGAATTGGTGATGTTTATATAATGTTCCAATACAAATCAGGTTTACTTTGTTTTAATGTCAATGAGAGAAAAACAAAGATTTATAAAGCATATTCTTGAATGTAAGTAAAGTTTGTTCAAACAGCAATGTTTTTTTTTATTGATAAGCAATGATCATTAATTACATTTGCACAAAGAGAATTTTCTTGTAATCAGTAAAAAAGATCAATATTGTAATAATCAGATTTATTTTTCTTCTAAAGGTTTCTGTTTTTTTATTGGGTAATAGCACATTTTCATTCTTTAGTGTTTATTCTTGATAAATTTCATGAGTGACACTTTCTTTTTTTAGATAAGATTCAAGTGTTTGAGCATCATTTATTTTGAAAATATAAGGAGCAATTTTTTCACCTTGTTCCTTTTTCAAAATACTTTTAATGATGCTATAATTCTTGAGTTCCATATTAGACCTAATGTAAATTAGTTTCATATTAATTATTTTTATATAGTAATAGGGATAGTTCTATATATAACGAATGGGATATTAATTATGATCACATTACAAATGACTAAATTTTGATCCCTAAAACTCTTTGTTCACTTTGTCTGGTTTTGTTGCAGCATGCCCCAATTAAGGTTGCCGATCCCAAACTGCTTCTCAAAACCCAAACTAGTTTGGGCAATTTGGGCTTCTCAGCATTTTTTTTTATAAACATGAACATTAAGAAACTATACCAATCAATTTATTTTAACTTAAACAACTTTAATTTCGCCCAATTTCGGCCAATAGTTTGAAAAGTAATTTTTGCCCAAAGTGTTTCGACAATTTCGGCAACTAATAAAGAGAGTTTCGGCCGGAAACCTTAATCTCAGTAGTTGAAGTGTAGGAGATGAGAGGTGTGGTGAGGATTTCAATTATATATACATTCAAACCTCATTTTTACAAAGTGGCTTGACATGAAATAAAAATTTGTTTAAACAAGATTATTATATATAGCACAATTTTACCTTTAACGAACTAAAAGAAAATCATTGTCAAATTTGGTCGTATAATTGCAAAAAAAAAATTTTTCCTAATGGTTGACCACTTTTTTAAAGTAGTTGTGGCTTTTTTAAAATTCAACACGTGGGTGGATTACAAATTTTTTAACTGGATCCGCACTAGGAGGCGCGTCAGCCATTAAAAATAATTAAAATAATATTAATACTAAATACGTTAGTCAAATTACTAATTAAAGATTTTACCTTTGCATTTTACTAATTCTAGCTTAGAATATTTTTAAGACGTGTTTAACCATCATAATCAAACTTTTTTTGTGCGTTAAAAAACATGATGAGAATTTCTTTTAATTATTGATTAATATACTTTGTAATAATAATAAACATAAACGCTTCAATTGATACAAAATACGATGAATTTAAATTTTACAAATAGAAAGCTTCATTTAATGTTTATTATGATATTCATTCTTACTAATGTATTATCGGATTCTAGTATATCACGTTACGCAGCTGTTAGTGTAGTGGTAGATAATAAAATTTATATTCTCGGAGGTTATAATGCAGGAATATCATATACGACAGATTCATTGTTTTATATGGATTTGACTAGAGATTTTGATGTTACAGACGTACCATGGGTAGATAGTGACAAAATACCTGTAGGAAATGCTTGGTCCGTAGGCGGAATTGGTGGACCAAATAAATCCAAGATATTCTTATTTGGTGGAGTTATGTCAAATCCAGATACTAATTCAGATAATTTCACTAATTTGCTCTATGCATATGATGTAAATACAAAAGTTTGGAGTGCTCCAAAGACAACTGGTATTACTCCAATTAATCGTAGAGAAAGTAGTATTGTGGCAGATGATAAAGGAAAATTGTATATTTTTGGTGGATTGGCCGATGAAGTTATTGGATCTAATTTTCAGATGTTTAATGATATGCATGCTTTGAATACGCTAGATATGACTTGGGATCTAATCTCTGCAATTAATCCACCGTTGCCAACTTGTGACCATACTTCAACTTTATTGCCTGATGGTAGAATTGTGATTATCGGCGGAAGAGAGGAAGGTGCAAATATTTATGAAGCAGACATTTATAAAGTATACATACATATATAGAAATTTTAATTATACAATCCCATCCCCACAAAACAAAATAATATATACGTATTAATATATTTATTTAGATAAAAATTTTTGATACAAATCTTTTAACCTGGTCAAATATGGTAAATATTCAATCAATTAAATATGAAGTTTACAAGATTATTTTTATGAAAAAACAATTAGTTTTCTTACGCCTTTATGAAAATTTTAGACAGCAAATGGTCCATCATCTATACAACCTCGAAGTGGTCATTCAGCTGTACTTTGTAATCAATTTTTAAATTTAAATTTTTTTTAAATTTTTTAAAAGAATGACATACTAAAATTATATATATATATATATATATTACATAGCAACGGATGGAAGGATAATTGTTTATGGCGGTAATAGACTTTCAGCAGTTACACCGTTTCCCGAAATCATTGTTCTTGATACAACCACAAATCCTTTTCAATGGTCTGCTCCAAATTTTTCAACTGTTAATCGTGCTGCATCAGTAACACACCATTTAGCTGATTTAATTGGAGATCAAATGATAATAAATTTTGGTAGATTTTTTTTTTCCTAAAAAAACTTTTTATTTTTTCTGTTGTATGTGAAAATGAAATTATATGAATTCATAGTTCACATATGTGAAATTCAAATTTACATGTGTGAAATTCAAATTAGCCAATCAGAATTTCACCCCACCCCATAATATTTCAATTTCACATAATTTCAATTTCACATACAACGTTTCTAAAGTTGACTAATCAAAAATAAAATTATATATATATATATAGGAAATGTTACAAATAACTTTACAGATCCACAATCATCTAATGCAAACACCTATATACTTGATATTAAAGATTTTAGTTGGAAAACAAGTTATGCAGCAAATATGACATCACCATCACTGAGCACTGTTCAAATATTAGCGATAGCGATTGCATTTTTTGTTGGAATAATATTAGTTATGGTGGTAACATTCATAATTATATATCGAAAGAAAAAAAATACAATTCCAAATGAAATGCCTAGTGAACAACAAATTCAACAGCGAATTGAACAGAAATACTCCAACTTAGTCTAGTATTCCATCTTATTTTAATAATCCTAATACTCCATCTTATCATAATAATGCTAGTAGTATTGGTCGCTGCTCTCAATTTTTTATAAAGAATATACATTAATTTAATTTTTACACTGATTAGAAGAAAATATCCGAATATAGTTTTTGATAATGATATAAAATTACACATAATTTATATAATTAGACAGATTTGGTTTTGGTGAATTCATCTATCTATATGTAAAATTTCAGTTTATGATTTTTAATTTTTTTAATGATGGTCAAAAAGAAAAAAAGTTTCAATCCTTCCTGGCGTGACTTTAAATATGATTGTATAATACTCCATAAGGAATTTGAGAATATTCCTCTTTCAACGCAATCTCTAACTCTGTTGCATTTTTGGTATAATTTTCTCGCTTTTTCAATCTCCTTTCCGGTTTACTCCATAAATGCTTGATTGGACTGAGAGATCAGGATATTGGGATAGCCAGGCCTTTGTATTATTTTCACTCATCCACTTTTGCAGATTTTTCGCTGTGTATCTACTTGTGCATTATTACCTTGAAATCTGTATGTATCTTTTGCTACGAAATCAATAGCACCAATTTTTATCCAATGTTAATATAATCTTTATGGTGACCAAAGGACCCAATTACTTCACAGAAAACACCCATACACCATCGCTATAATACCATCACTATGTTTAACAGAAGGCCTAATGTTCTCACCATTTTTTTCGCCAAACTCAAGCTGGTCCATCACTTCTAAACATTTTTAAATAATTGCCTTCCATTGTCTGACCGACCAATTTCTTCTCTATACACCACTTCAACCGATTGTTCTTTTGTCGTTCTGATAATAAGAGCCTTATTGCAGTAACTGGAAAAAATTCCAAGTTTATAAGAATCGTCTTGTTGATACTTTGATACCTAGCCTCGACAAAAGTTTTTTTTAATCTCTTCTAAAGAATCACAAATTTTTTGTGATCTATTCACATAATGTTTGATGGTCTCATAAACTGTAATATTTAAAATATTAAGCGTCATCATCTATCAAAGATCTAAAAATTTTCTTCATTTAATTCCGAATTTTTATTCTTAAAAATCAAAATAAGCAAATGATTTTATGGGATTAGTTTACGAAAATTCTACGCATGATAAAAGCATTCGTCAGAACCTAAACTATAATATTAACCATTTTTTTTTACTCAAGATTACTTTGGTCAAATCATCGAGATAGCCCTTGGTGAAAAACTATCTTTAATCAGATCAACGACTAAAAAATTTTGATACATCATTAACTACGATCATATTTAAACAAAGAACTTTTATTGATCGTGACTTATCAAAATTTTTAATAATAGAACTGGATTTGAAAAGATTTGGTAATCACAAGAAGATCAAGAAATAATTAGATTTAATAATAGTGAGCATTACATTATATTTGTGATAAAGCATTATAAAATATTGCAACGATCCCAATTTATTTTTATTTCTGAGATATCATAAGTTGGTGAATTATGAACTAATTTCACTCGTTTTTCCAATTTTTTGATTTTAATTTCTAATTTTTCTATATCTGTTATATAACCTCTTATTCTACTATTCAATTCATCTAGATTTGGTGGATCATAAACTTTTCTGCAAGTATCCAAGTAATTTATTAATTTTTTTCTCGACTCTTCTCGGATCTCTTCTGCAATTTGTTTAGTACGATGTGTTATTGGTGGATTATCCACGTGGATGACCTTTTTACACCCTTTAATTACTGTAGAAAGTTTATTATTTTCGTTAATCATATTTGAACGATCCTTATCACATACATCTTCATCTTCAAAGTCAGGAAAATTTGTTCTAACAATAGTAGTAAAATTGACAATATCTTGATCAAAAATAACTGTTTGTAATAAATCATAAGCATTTATTTCCTCTTCCCTAAATCTTCCATTGGTAACAAATAAGATTTGGTTAAATCCATCTTTAATATCATCAGCAGTTTCTGCAAAATTATATAATATTTCTTGAGGAGTTAACCTTTTATCACCAATTCCTATTGTATCAATTATTTTATATTTAAATGTGCTTTCTTCCATATTATTAGTATTATCGATTACGTTAGCTAAAGTTGTCCTTCCGCCTCCTACTCTACCAAATAATAATATTGTTATAGTTTCGTCTTTGGGTTTCTGTTTGTTTTTTTCGTTTGCATTCAAAGATGATTCATATTTAAACGTGTCTGATAATGGGCCATCTTTTTCGGCTTCTTTATCTGATTCAAATTTGAATTCGCTTGATGATGCGTTATCATTTCCAAGAATTCCATTCGTATTAAAAGATTCCATTTTTTTTTTTTTTGATGAATGTTTCCACAATTAGAAAATAAATGTATTTTAAATATTTTTTATGTTGTTGATTACAAATGCTAGCTCGGGGATAAATTCAAGTTTAACCCTATAAGAAAAACTGTTTTAAAGAGTCTTTTCATACAAATGAAGGTAACTCATTTCTATTTTGTTTTTTTAGTATCATGGTTTTCAAGCAAACCTTTTTTGTATAATATAAAAGTTTCTCTGTAAGGTAGATTTTTAATTGGAAATCGATCTTTGTAATAGACTCTTTCTATAGATCTATAAAAAAATTTTATAGCCGGAACCAGTTTTTTACTATTATAATTACTATTGTCCCATAAATATAGATCCATCCGAAACACGGCGATTCTTTTTTCTTTTGAGTGATTTTTCCGGAAAACATACTCATGTAAATTCAACTTATCGCACAGTCTAAAGACCTCCTAAACTTTGCACAAATTTTAAAAGTATAGAAGTTATTTTCTGTCCTACCTTTTAAAAAAGTAGCTCTATTATTTGATAGAATAGGTCTCCCTAGCTTTAATGAAATAGAGGGACTTTCCCAAAAAAAAATGCTTTTTTAGTATATATGTATTTTACTAGGACCAGGAAAACTCTATTGAATGTGACCGTCAACACTATGATTCGAAAGTACTTTTTAAAAAAAATGTGACCGCCCTCATCATAGATTCGCATTGATAGAAAATGAAAAAGGTCGCCGCTTTTATATCATTCGAAGAAAAAATGTTATCGGTTAACCAATAATAAAATTAAAAAATAAAAATAATACCCTAACTTTCAAGAATTTGTCAATGCTAAAAAAGTTATTTGTAAATGTGGTCAAATTATTTCACTTGGCAAGTGTTTGGGCAAAGCTATTACGTTTTATGAAAAATGTGGCAAGGACATTCATGGGTAGAAAAACCAGCACGATATTTAGATCATTTATCATATATTTCTATTAAGACCTATCTGTATCACAACGGTATCTTTCATGTGAAAATTTGGCAGACACCACGAGAAGTAGTTTATTTTTTGGGAATACGTTCTTATTCTAATTATTAATCCTTGTTTGATTGCAGTAGATGATGAAACATTTTTAATTTATAATCATTTTAGTCAATCAAGTACACAAAACTTTCTTTTAAATATTTTTAATCAATAAAAATAATTTCATATGTCCCCGGCTGTTCTCATTATTAATAATTTTAAAATGTGTTTTGAAAATCGATTCGCATAATAATAATTATTATTATAAAAAATTAAGATTCGCATTAATCACATAATACTAATACTAATACTAATACTATTTTACTATTTACTATATACGTACATGCCTCAAAGATCATTACTAAATTTAGAGTAACTTGCAAAAATGGTATATATGACAAATTATACTTATTCATATTCATAGATAAAGGCAATTTTAACGACTATGTGTCAATAAATGTTTGATTATTTTATACTGTTATCACAGATATCCAACATTAATAACAAATTAAAGTTTTTGAACGAAATGTTTTTGCTGTATGGCACAGCAAAAGATATTTTTAGTCTATCTATTATAATCTCAAAAAAGATTGCTTTTATTAAAATAAACGTCATTATATATTGAAAATACTACATGACAAAAATTGTATATGGATATAATAATTATGAAATAATACAACCGCCTTTTTGTAATTCCTTAATTCTCTCATCTAACTCTTTTCGTTTTTTATTTCCTTCATTCAATTGTCCATACAAATCATTTACTTCTTTCTGTAATCTTTCTTTATGTGTCATATAACCATTTATTTTTGCATCCACAGCTTCTTGTAACTTTTCCGGTACATAAACTTTAGTGCAAGTCTTCAAGTAATTTATTAATTTTTTTCTTGATTCTGCTCTGATCTCTTCTGCGACTTGTTTACTACGCTTTGTTATTGGTGGGTTATCTACATGAATAAGTTTATTGCATGATTTTACTAGTTCAGAAAGTTTATCATTTTCAGAAATCATAGCTTGATGATCTTTTTTACACTCGTCATCATCTTCAAAATCATGGAAATTTGTCCTAACAATGGTAGTAAATTCGAAAATACTTTTATCAAAAACAACTGATTCTAACGTTTCAAACGCATCTATTTCTACATCGGTAAATCTTCCACTTGTAACAAACAAAACTTGATTGATCCCGTATTTAATCGCTTCAGCAGCAATTGTTAATTTAGATATTACTTCTTTTGGTGTCATTTTGGTGTCTCCAATTCCCACAGTATCAACTATTTTGTATATTTTTCCATCAATATCAAAATTATTAACATTGGTGTCTTTGGTCGAACTAACTGAACTACTGCTTACATCGTAATTATTAGAACCACTGAGTACATTCGCCAAAGTTGATTTTCCACCTCCTGTACTTCCAATTAATAATATGGTTAATATTTCAAGATTTTTATTTTTGCCACTATTCATATTTAATGATGAAAATTTCTCCAACTCCAACGTTTTTATTATTTATTAAATATAAAGTCACTTTATTTATATATATCGTTAAAATTCTAATTACAAATTAATTATCATACCTGTATGCAATCATGCTGTTTAAAGTTTAATCTTATCTAACACGTCATATATATACACTCATCAAAATAATCAGGTTGTTTACTCTAATTTAAATTAAATATCAGTTTTCCCTTTATGTAGTAGAAAATAAACAATACTAATAATTATTTGATTCTTTTATAAAATCAGCCAATTTTTGATATATGGAAACAACCATTTGTTATTCCAAAGTAAAAATGTTCGAAATTAGTGTTATCGTTATTACCAATACTTAACGCCCAATAAAATTTGAGAATGTGTGCTTTTTTATATAGAAATACTCTTCAACCATTATAAGTAAATTAAATAATTTCAAGTTTATGTATTCTTTAAGCTACGATAAATAATAACAATAATTCTACAATATGAAATTTTACAGAAAAGGACTGGAAGACCACCAAAAGTCGCATAGAAACTTATGAGAAACTATAAAATTATCAAATACTTCTTTTTCTATATCTACTATTCTTTAACTTGTTCACTAAGAAAGTACTTTATTTTTTAAAGGGTTAACTTCTAAAAAAATTGTCTATTTGAATTAATCTCGATTTCAATTGATCATCAAAATCAAAAAATCGAAAAAACTATTTTGTCATCAATTTATATTTTATTAATTTTTATTTGTCATATATTTTTATATTCAATCGGTTCCACCGATTAAATTGTTACTAATACTAATCATATCAGCCGATTTGGTTTTTTTCATTCATTCATTTTAAAATTGATTGCTGCATCTGACTAACGAGCTTACATGTGTATCTTATTGTGTAATTTGCCAGCAGAATTAATCTAAAAAAATTTATTTGTTCCGCCAAAAAAACTATTTTACTATTTAACAACCCGTCAAACTATTGGTACTACCTCAAAACCAATGTATTTTTGCTAGAATAAGGTATTCGTAACGCTAAATTTGGGGATTCAAACGAAATCATCGCATATGTATAAAGAATTCTGAAATTCATGCGTTTCAAATAAAACAAGTTTGGCTTAGGGACAAGCTATAACTCGATAAACACATATCAAATCAATAATTGAACCATTCTTGGTGAAATTCTCAATTTATTTTATTGACTTTCGCTCTCCCGCCCTAATTAACGACACTATGATTTCATGAAAAAATTTGTAATAAGTTTTTCTCTATATGTGATATGTGATATGTGATATATAACTTTCAATGGGAAAACGAGCCAGTATTGTTAAATTACTTTGATGTTTTACATGGGCGTTAATATTAAGTAATAGCAATATTGGTATATATTTTTGAACTCTCTCATACAAACAAGGAACTACAAATAACTTTTTGGGCAGTCTAGCGCATTTTAGTACTAGTTTCCAAAAAACTATAAAGTTTCACGACTGTACAAGGGTCAAAGGGTTTCGCCATATAACTTTTGATTTTAGTTTTGACTTTCGTCTCTTCAAAATAATTTCGCATCTAGCACTAAACGCATTAAAACACAATTGTCATCATATCAGAAAACAATAACTATGCATTCCATATGTTTTTTCCATATTTAACGTACCTTTCTTCACACAGAATAGATACCGTTACATATGGAATGTATACAGAATGCATATCAATATGATATATATATATTCCCGTATACTTTCTGTAAATTCCATATTAATGTGTTTTCAGGATTGAAACATACGGAAGGCGCCCTTTCGCTAGAAGGTTCGGTATATTTTCTGTATAAATATTAATATGGTAAAAACTGAAAAATATACTATTTTCCGTAAAATTTTTGATAGGATATTCTATTGCATTGTTAATAATACAAATTTCATGAAGCTTAAATCAAAGGCAAATTTACTTTATTCACTAAACCAATTAATGGAAAAATTATTAAATACAAAATGAGATTTCAATAATTATTGATGATGATGATGTGAATGAAGAGATGGGAAATGCAAGTGATGAAATAGATACTAGAAACAGAAACTTTTAGTTTTTATTAAATAGCTTATCATTTTTTAATACATTTATTTATTTTACTTTAATCATTTTTTTTTTTTTTGCTTATGTCAAGATTCATTATTTCGTCAAGTGTTTTTACTTTAGTCAAATCGCCAAAATAGCTCTCGGTGAGAAACTATCTTTAATCAATACTTTATCGCATCAATGATTAAAGTCAAAAGTTTTGACATAACAAAGAACTTTTATTGATCGTGATTAATCAAATTTCTAATAATAGATCTGGATTTTTTGAATCAAGAGATAATTAGATTAATAATAATGAACATTATATTATATCTGTGATAAACATTACAATGACCCAATTTATTTCTGAATTATAAGCTACTTCTAATTTTTCCGTAACTTTTATTTTTATTGTTCAATTTATAAGAGTCTTTAAGTAATTAAATAATTTTATCTTGAATCCCTGCTGCAACTTGTTTGGTACAAATGAAATCATCTTACATAATAACATTTTTCATTTTAATCATATCTGAATTATCTTTGTCACATAAATCTTGTTATCTTGATCAAAAATAACTGATTACATTTATTTTCCCTTTCCTAAAACTTCCATTGGTAGCGAATAAGATTTAACAAATCTGTCTTTAATATCATCATCAGTAGTTTCTACAAATTTATATTTCTTGAAAAGTTAACCTTCAATCACCAATTACCATTAGTATTATTGATTACATTAGTTAAAGTTGCCCTTCCACTTTCTACTCTACCAAATAATAATATTTTTATAGTTTAACCTCTTCATTTTTTGGTTTCTTATTGTTTTTTTCAAGTTATGATTCATGTTTAAATATGTATTTGGTAATGTGCCATCATTTTCGACTTTTTTATTTGAACAATGATCCAAGTTTTGATTTTGATGCCAAGAATTTTATTAATATTGAGGATCACTGCTTATAAAGGAAATAATGTTCTTTTTTACAAATGTAGATAATAAAATTACTTTAAAAACAATATTAATATGGGATTGGAAGGAAGCCGAAATTTTTTAACAGCATCTTTTATGAATATTTTATCCATCGTAACCTTCAAAAAAATTACAGTGACCATTTTTATGTCGCTTTAAAATAATTACATATTGAAAAACTACTCGCACTACATTAATAATAATATTCATGAAATAATGCAACCGTCCTCTCGTAATTTCTTAATTTTTTCATCGTCATCCATCTTCCAGCTTATTCCTTTCTGTAAACTTTCTTTATGCGTCATATAATCTCCTATTTTTGTAGCCATCATTTCTTGTAACTTTTCTGGCACATAAACTTTTGTGCAAGTCTTCAAGTAATTTAATAATTTTTTCCTTGATTCTTCTTTGATCTCTTCTGCAAATTGTTTAGTATGCTTTGTTATTGGTGGGTTATCTATATGAATAACATTTTTGCATGTTTTAACAAATAGAGAAAGTTTATCATTTTTAGAAATCATAGCTTGATAATCTTTTTCACATTCAGCATCATCTTTGAAATCAGGAAAATTCGTCCTAACAATAGTAGTATACTCAATAATACTTTTATCAAAAACGACTGATTCTAACGTTTCAAATGCATCTATTCCTATATCGGTAAATCTTCCATTACTAACAAATAAAATCTGATTAATCTCATATTTAGTAACTTCAGCAGCGATGGCTAATTTAGTTAGTATGTCTTTTGATGACATTCTAGTGTCTCCAATTCCCACGGTGTCAATTATTTTGTACAATTTTCCATCAATCACATAATGATGAACACTAGCATCTTTGATCGAGCCAACTGAGTGATAACCTACATCAAAATCATCTGAACCGCTGATTACATTTGCTAAGGTTGATTTTCCACTTCCTGTACTTCCAATTAATAATACCGTTATTATATCGATGGCTTTATGATCTCTACCATCATTCATATTTAATGATGAAAATTTCTCCAACTCCAACATTTTTATTATTTATTAAATATCAAAGTCACTTTATTTATACATATTGTTAAAATCCTAATTACAAATTAATTATCATACCTGCATGCAAATCATGTTGTTTAAAGTTTAATTTACTAAAAAGTAACACGTCATATACTCATCAAAACAATTGGATTGATTACGAGTATTTGAATTCTAATTTAAATCTATCAAGTAAACAATATTAATAATTATTCAATTCTTTTAAGTAAACAATATTAATAATTATTCAATTTTTTTATAACACCAGCCAATTTTTGATATATGGAAACAATTATTTGTAAATAAAAATGTTTAAGTGTTGTTATTACTAATATTTAGCGCCTAATAAAAAAATTTTAATATGCAAATAATCAAAATCGTTTGAAAATACTAGTTTTTCTTTAAATTAAGTTTGAGAAAGTTGGTTATTTTGTTATGATGAAATTTTCGAAATCGAAATACCCTTGGAGAAATTGAATTGAAATTGGTCTTCGAGATTAAATCAACCATTTATAAATAAATTAAATAATAAATATCCTTTTGGCTTATGCGTTCTTTAAGCTACGACAAATAATGATAATTCTACAAACTCGAATTTTTATTTGTCAGATTCAAAATGTCTGGATGACCACCAAAAGTCGTATAAAACTATAAACAACATTTGTCTTTTTTAAATATTTCCTTCTAGATAGTCTTTATTTGCAGAGGAAAAAAAACGCGCTATTTTTTAAAAGGCAACTTTTAGAAATATGTTTATTTGATTTCGATTTCGATTTCGATTGTTCATTGAAATCGAAAACTATTACCATTACTATTACTTATATATCATAACGAATCAAGAATCACACCAAAATTAGATATGTGAAACATTAAATATTATGAAATGTTACAAAAACAACTAACAAGATCACTTGGTGTAGTAGGAAATTCTTTAAAGAAATTATTCAAATATTCTTTATATGTAATATTCGACCCTTCCACATCTGTAATGTGATCTTTTATTCTATCATTCAAATTATCTAACTTTGGTGGATAATAAACTTTTGTGCAAGTTTCCAAGTAATTCAGTAATTTTTTTCTCGATCCTTCTCTCGTCTCTTCTGCGACTTGCTTCATACGACCAGTTATTGGTGGATTATCTACATGAATAACCTTTTTGCACGATTTTACAAGTTGAGAAAGTTTATTATTTTCTTTAATCATATCTTGATAATCATTTTCACACTCGGCATCATCTTCAAAAACAGGGAAATTCGTTCTAACAATTGTAGTATACTTAAAAGCATCTTTATCATCAAAAATAATTGATTGCAATAAATAGTAAGCGTCTATTTCTTTTTCCCTAAATCTCCCATTGGTAACAAATAAAATTTGGGTTATTCCATCTCTAATTTCATTGGCAGTTTCTGCAATTTTATATAATATTTCTTGGGAGGTTAATTTTCTATCACCAATCCCATCTGTATCAATTGCTTTCATATTATTAGCATTATTGATTACATTAGCTAACGTCGTCTTTCCGCTTCCTTTTCTACCAAATAATAATATTTTTGTAGTTTTAACTTCTTCGTTATCAGGTTTTTCATTTGCTTCTTCATTTGCATTCGAAGACATGTTAAATTTATTTTCGCTCGATGCTGATATGTTATCATTTTCAAAAATATTTTCATTTGTATTTGAAGATGCCATTTTTTTTTTTTTTGATAAACATTCCCACAAATTAGAAAAAGAAATGTATGCATATATATATATATATATTGTTGGTACAATACTAATTCAAATAGGGAAGGAAATTACAGTATGTTTATTTTTAAATTGGTTTTTCAATATTAATATGTGACAATCCCTTGAGCGGTTTTTCGAACGAAATTGATTTGTATAAAATTTCTCTGAGAGGTACATCTTTCAATTGAAAAATGATCTTTAGGATTGGTTCAATAAAAAAAAATCATTTAGATTTAGAGAATGAAGGTTTTTACTCTAGTTCGAAAAAAAATTTTTTTTTATTAAAATAAGATAATAAAAAATAATAAAATAAAATATAAATTTTTAAATAATAACATTTTATGAAATAATACAACGGCTTTCTTGTAATTTCCTGACTTTTTCCTCTAAATCGCTCACTTTTTGCTGTAATTTTTCTTTGTTGGTCATGTAATCTCCTACTTTTTCATTCATAGTTTCTTGTAACTTTTCTGGGATATAAACATTTGTGCAAGTATCCAAGTAATTTAATATTTTTTTTCTTGATGCTTCTCTGCACTCTTTGCCAACCGCTTCAAACCGACCAGTTATTGGTGGATTTTCCACATGAATAACCTTTTGGCATGATTCAACAAGTTGAGTAATTTTATCATCTACACAAGTCGTATCTTGATAATCTTTTTCACACTCAACATCGTCTTCAAAATCAGGAAATTTCGTTCTAACGATAGTAGTATAATCAAAAACGTTTTTATCAAAAACAACTTCTTGCAAAGTTTCAAATGCTTCGATTTCTACATCAGTAAATTTTCCACTGGCAACAAATAAAATCTGATTAATTCCACACTTAATGGCTTCTGCAGCCATGACTAATTTATTTGCTACTTCCTTTGGTGGCATCCTACTGTCTCCAATTCCTACAGTGTCGACTATTCTGTATATTTTTCCATTAATCGCATAATTACGAGAATTAGTATCTTTTGTAGAACTAACTGAACGGTGGCTTGTATCATAATCTTCAGAACCACTGAGTACGTTTGCTAGAGTTGATTTTCCACTTCCCGTACTTCCAACTAATAATATTGTTATGATTTCGATGTCTTTATTATTTTTATTTTTATTTTTATTATCGCCATCATCGTCATTCATATTTAATGATGCAAGTTTGTCCAACATTTTCATTATTAATTAAATATCAAAAAAGTCAATTTATTTATATATATATCGCTTAAAATTTTAAAATTAAAATTAATAAATATGCTTGCATGCAATCATATTGTTTAAAGTTTAATTACTAAAAAGCTTATCTAACACGCCATATATACTCATCAAAAACAACTAGCTTCATAATGAGGCTTAAATTCTAATTCCATTTATAGAGTAGAAGAAGAATAAACAATCCTAATAACCATTCAATTCTTTTATGATATATGGAAACAATTACTTGTTATTATTCCAAGTAAAAATGGTTTAAAGCATTGTCATTACTAATATTAACGCCTAATAAACATTTAACATTAAACAATCAAAGCCATTCGAAAATACTGGTTCGTGCGAGTATTTTTTGATCCATTAAAAAATTACGAGAAAGCTACTTATCTTTATACAGTAGTTTATCAATTATTATAGCGAATGGTTTTCGAAATCAAAATACTCTTGGCGTTCTTTAAGTTACAACAACAATAATATTTCTATGCTTTTTTTCCAGATTCAAAAGGGTTCGGAAGACCACCAGAAGTCATATCAGAACTTATAAAAAACTATAAACAACATTTGTCTTTTTTAAAATTATCAAATATTCTTTCTATATCTCCTATTTTTTGTTTGCTCGTTTTCAAGTATCTCATTAAAGGTGGAGAGAGAAAAGCACATTATCTTTTAAAAAGGTTAACTTCTAGGAAATCTTTTTTCGATCCTCGATTTTGATTATGATCATCGAAATCGAAACAACTATTTTGCCATCACGCATTAGTATTAGTATTAATGTATTATTATTATGTTTATTTCCAATTTTATTATTTTATTAATATTTCACATGCTAAATATTGTTCAATTCAATAATTAAAATAATAAATATGCCAAAAGAAATCAAACAAAAACTAAACCTGTCGAAAAAGAGAATTTTTTTATTCTTTTTGTTATTTCTTTTTTTTAATAATACTAATTCATGATTTCAATATTCATGAAAATCTCAAAACAAGAATCCAAAAGAAGAATTTGTGAAAATTTATTGTTTTATTTCTAAAGCAGTAAAACAGTTTTTTATTTTAAACATAACTACGTAGTCAATCCTGTTAAACCAAAATTGGTTCCAGAAGCGGTAAATCCACCCCGTTAAAACCAAATTACTAACTAATACCTGATATTAAACTTAATATTAATATTAATTTTGAATGGAATAACGGGTTGACAATGTGATTTGTGGCCTAGTACCAGGCCCTATAAATTACGTGTGCAAAGTTTCTATCGAAATTTCAATCAATAAATAGAAAAATCAGAAAACACGAAATTTTGCATGCATATTCTACAGGATAGGCTACAAGCTAAATATTTTTATGTGTAATTGATTAAAGATACTGGTCGCAAATATTGGTCATGGTTGCAATCATGGGTGCAATTATGCAGTGGTTGCAACCAAATGCCGCAAGTCGCAAACCATGCCGCAAGTTGCAAACCATGTCGCAATTAGTGTTCCATGTCGCAAGTCGCAAACCATGTCACAATCCAAAAAAGGAAACCAAGTGGTCGCAAAGGTGGTGCGCAAACCACTTTTATATGTCGCAACTATGGTTGCAACCATCATCAAAAGTATCTATAATAATAGTCTCAAGTCACAAACCATGTCACAATTGTCTCAAGTTACAATCAAAATTTCAAATAATGCAATTGCAAATAACATGCTACCTCTGGTTAGTTATTAACACGTTTCTTTAGGAGACCCAAACCAAACCAAACAATAACACTCACGTTTTGTCACCTTGGACTCTGTCAAAAAATAAATTGTTTTTCCAAAAAAAAATCATCAATTCACGTCTGTCCTACCAAAAAAAAAACCAATAGGATAAATAATTAATGTGTACACATCAATCAAATAACAAACTTCTTTTTAAAAATGTCAAACAGATTCAAAAATACCAAAAAAAGAAGCAGACAAGAAAATACCGGTGCTATCAGAGAGTAAGTGTTTTAAGAAGGATGGTGGTGGTGGTTATCGCCTGCCACTCGTCATTACTCTAGTTAATTTATTAATTTACTCGACAATAATATTAGAGAAATAGATCATGATAATAGCAACAATAATGATTGTTTATCGGAACAACAACAAGAAATCTTCGACATGATTGTTTATAAAAAACAGAACACATTCATTACAGGTGGAGCAGGTAATTAATAGTCACGTGTTTGCTTTAATGGTATGACGCAATAACAGATAATGGACAAAGTTTGATTATTAATTAAGTTCATATCCAAATGACAAAAAACAAATTTAGGATTAGAGAGGTTTAATTACAATAACCTAATGCTTTAATACAAGTTTAATAGTTAGTTTAAATAGACATTAAAATACCATATCCAACTACATTACAGCACATAAATATAATAATAATAATAGGAAATTTTAAATTCATTTTGCACACATTAAAAGAAATAATATCAATTCATTCTAATATTACTACAGTCACAGAAGTAATTACAGATCTTTTATTATTACCAACACTACAAAACCTAAAACATTTGACATTAGTAATTAGTCATTGTAGAAATACAAAACATTTTTAATACTATTATATTTCCAATATTGAATATGTCTTTAGGTTTTTTATTAAAAATAATGGAAATAACCTTAAAATTCTGTCAATTGTTATTATTTTAGGTTCTGGTAAAAGCTTTCTGTTAATGAAAATTATTTCTGTTCTGCAAGGTATGTATGGCATTGAAAAAGTAGCAGTGACCGGTTCAACTGGAATTGCTGCTTCAACTATCAATGGTGTGACAGTTCATTCATTCTCAGGTATTGGATTTGGTGTTGAAACTGAAGAAGATTTAATTAAAAAAATAAATTTATCTAAAAATAAATACATTGAGTGGAAATCAGTAAGAGTGTTAATTATTGACAAAAGTGAGTTATATATTTATTTTACATTTACGTTTTATTATACATTTAACAATGTAATTTGTTATATCGGATTTCATAATAATAAATAGTATCTATGGTTGATGGAGAAATTTTTGACAAGTTGGAAGTGATTGCAAGGAATATTCATCAAAATGACAAACCATTTGGAGATATATTGGTATAAAATTGAAATATAATACTAAAAAAAAGTAATTTAGTAACCAATACTTATACTTATGCATATATAAATTTAATATTAGCTAGTTCTTTCTGGTGATTTTTATCAGTTGCCACCAGTTATCAAAAATCAACCTCAAAAATTTTGTTTTGAAGCAAAATCTTGGACCACTTGTATTCAAAACATATCACAACTGTCAAGTATATTCAGACAGAAGGAACCAGGTATCATAGTAAACTTCAATGTTTCATTTGTATTTATATCTATATATTTAATAAATGATCTAATTAGGATCTTTTGCTTTTATGGATTTTTAGACCTTGTAAATATGTTGAATGAAATTCGAATTGGAATTGTGACAGAAGAAACATTAAAATTAATGAAAAAATTGAGAAATCCCCCAGTATATCCTGATGATGAAATTATGGTGACAGGATTATACCCAACCAATGATCAGACTATCTGTGTAAATTCCACTTATCTAAGTAAATTAAAATCAAAAAAACATATCTACTGGGCAATTGATTATGAAAATGAAAAGAATGGACAACGTAAGATGCTTGTAAAAAATTGTCTGGCAACCAGGGTTGGCAAATGTGTGGTCCATTGATGGTCTATTTGTGGTCCATTGGGTCCATTAGTGTAACACTTTAACCATATTTAGTATTTTATTAATGACAATGGACCAGTCCAAAATCTATCTGTTCTCAATGGACCAGTCAATCTGCCAACCCTGCTGGCAACACATTATTTAGAATTGAAGCATGGTGCTTGTGTAATGTTAATTAAAAATTTGACCAAAGAATTAGTAAATGGAAGTCAAGGTATCATAATTGGATTTTATTCAGAAAGTTCAAATAAAAGTTTTTATGATGATGATGATAATGATGAAAATAATGTTTATCCAATCATTAAATTTAATAACAAATAATTAATAGTAAAATTTGCAGAATGGTCAATTAAATCAATTGATCCACAGTCAGATGATGAAATTATACTAGCAAACAGGAGGCAACTCCCATTAATACTTGCTTGGGCAATCACAATTCATAAAAGCCAAGGATTAAGCATACCTAGGCTCAAAGTCAATCTAGATGGAATATTTGCTAATGGGCAAACTTATGTAGCACTTCCATGTGCAATACCATTAAAATCCATTCAAGTACTTAACTTTACTCAAGATAAAGTGAGGGTAGACCCTAAGGTAAAAGATTTTTATAAAAAATTATTGTCAACAGATAGCACTACCACTAGCAGCAATAACAATAACAGCAAAAGTAGTTCATCATCATCATTATTAACAAGTGATGCTAACAATGACGTTAACAACAACAACAGTAGTTGATCATCATCAGAATCGGGCAATGATGACTACAAAACTACTTATAAAAAGATTAAGTTGGATATTCTTAAAGCAAAAGCTAGGAAAGCTGAGGCTGAAGCTGAATTAGCAAAAATTCAACTTAAAAATGCAAAAGCAAAAATTTATTTGATTTTTTTTTTTTAAAAAATGTATTGATTATGCAAAAATGCACATAATTATATAGTACATAAAAAAATATGTCAACTTGTGGCCTAAGTCTTATATATTTTTACAAATACAAAGTTGATTCTCATTAAAAATAAAAGATATAGAAAATTGAAGTTTGCACATGTAATTTACATATGAACACTAATTTTTTTAAAAAAAAAATTCTGTTTTACTGTTTAGTATAATCAACAATTTTCTTTGACCACTTTTTTAGAAATAACAATAATTATCTTTTATTCATTTATTTATCAGTTTTAGCATTATCAATAAATCTCAGGTCTCAAGATAAATAATTTCTGCAATTTTATCTTATCTATTTTTAGTAACAGTAAAAAATTCTCTAAAAATAATTAGTGTATCTGTTTGTCTGTTTTAGTATGATCAATAAATATTAAGTCTCAAAATAATAATTTCAATGATCCATTTTTTAGAAATAAATAATAATCATTTACATATATTTATAATTATTATGCAGATTATACATGTTGTCAAAATTAATTTGGCCTTGACTCAATTCCTAAAATCTCAGTTTTTAATTGCGTCTAACTCAATTATTTATTATTATTATTGTGTTTTTTCATGACTCAATTAATTGTGTCAAAAAGTCACCTGATTGAGTCAAGTGATCTACCACATGTATAAAACTCAATGCTATGAAGGTGAAAAAGGTTTTCAATACTTAGATAATAAAGCAAATTTGGGAATTTATTTCAAGAAATTACCAAGTATACAAAAATATCAACATTTTCTTTTGAAGCATCTAATCTTGGTACAGTGAAAGTTCAAGAAGTTGCTAATGGACCTTTTGCTGAATTCAATTTATTGA